ACCCTCCCGGCCTTCCGTAAAGCTACTAAGTCCTGGCTGTTCCGGCAGGCTGAGGGCTGTTGAAGTATCCAGCCCCGCTTCAATTGTGATTGTTGTGTATTTTAATATTGCTTGTACTGTCTTATTTATCCCCTCCCCTGTTTTGTTGTGAGCTGCCCGGAGTCCTTCGGGAGTGGGAGGCATACAAAACCAATAAACAAACAAAACGAATGAGTCATGCTAGCTTCAGAGTTGACAGAAGTATTACAGGACTTTTCTGGGAAATTAATCAGCTGGAGAAAATAGGTGGGGCTAGTGGCTGACTAATTCACTAGTGTGCTTCAGTAAAACCAGCCCAAAAGCTACTAGATCTCATGGACTTTTATCATTTTTTAAAATATTCCAGTATGTATTCAAAAGACTACACTGTACTTGTTTTGTCAGAATGGCAAAAGAAAATTACGGATAAATCAGAGAGTTGAAATAACTGGCTCCCAATCTGCACACTAGATTTTCACAACACATCAACTGGTTAATTGACTGTGACATAATGCACACAGATAGATGCACCGTAACAACCTGATTTAATACTTACAGTTAACTGTAAGGTTTGCTATTCCACAACACTAATAAACCAAAGTGTAAGTTTTGTTCCACCAAGTTACATTTTAGAAAGGAAAATAGCTTTGACTTGAGAGCTAGTGCAATAACACAAATATGGGGAAATGGTCAATTTATTCAACTGTACTATTTATACTAATAACATTTCCTCCTAAAACAGTCTATCTCATCTATACCCATTTTGTTTCAATAGAAATATTGATGTTTAAAAGTTGTGTTTGTTCTCAAGCTCACATATGCATATGCCCACATGCTTAGTCTTCCTTGTTTTTGATTATTTAACTTTTCCTTCTGTTTGGTAACGTCTTTCTCTGTTTCTATTGTCATCGCCGTCATTGGATGATATGGTTATGATATGATGATGCTTTTTACAAAATGAAAATAAACTTTCAGAGAAAAAATATAATATTTAATAAGCTATATCAAAGCACACTACAAGGTGTCTCTTTCCCCCACAACAAAAGGGAAAGGTTGGGATAGGCTGGGCAGAAAGGGAATGTCTGGCTCAAAATCAGAGCTTCTAAAGCTTAAACCGGACTAAAATCTGAATCTGTTTGCTTTTAGTCTGATGCAATGTTTCTCAACGTTAGAACTTGAAGATATATGGACTTCAACTCCTAGATTTCATGCTGGCTGGGGAATTCTTGGAGTTGAAGTCCACACATCTTAAATTGTTAAAGTTGAGAAACACTGATCTAACACCTTAACAACTCCTCCACACTGGCTCTCACCTACACATTGAAATATGAACTAAATCATGAATATGAAATCTTGAAGGACAGAATGTTAGACAGAAGGTGAGCTGACTAGCTTCAACAGAAGCACTCTCCACTCACTCTTTGGGGAGAAGTTCAGCTGTACTTATAAAATGGTTTTTAGCTTTCTCTAGGACATGGTTTCTAGCCCTCTTGGTTCACTGGTCCAATCCAAAGAAAGCTACTGACTGAACAAGTCTGCTTTATCTTGCAAATCTGTGGTGGCAAAGTGTTTAGAATGCAATATTGCAAGCTAACTCTGCTCACCGTCAGGAGTTTGATCCTGACCTGTTCAAGGTTGAGCCTTCCAACCGTCAGTAAAATGAGGACCCAGATTGTTGTGGGTAATATGCTGAATTGGACATGTGATGCGACATCCAGAAAAATATGCCATGCTTCCCTTAATCCTCCAAGGAAAGATTGAAAGCAAATGAGCTCCAGGCAGAAGAACATCGTGGCTTCAAAATCTAAGGGACCGTTTTGGACAAAACTCAGCAGCACTTTTTTGTGGGGCTGTTGATAAAAATAGGATCGCCAACATGATCACCAACGTCTGATGACAAATATGGCACAAGAAGAAGAATATGTTGACATTGTAAACCACTTAGAGAATGCTGCAAAGCACTATAAAGCAGTATATAAGTCTAAGTCAGAGGTAGGTTGCACAGGTTCAGGCGAACCGGTAGTGGCATTTTCGTCTTGGTCACAGAACTGGCAGTGACCCAGGCTGGCCACACCCCTGAATTGGTTCCCCGGTGGCCGCTGCCATTGCCGTTATGTTTTTTAGTATTTTTTCATGTTCTGCACCTGCGCAGAACAATTTACAATTAACTGTGAGCGCAGCAAACTAGCAGCAACGCCAGCAGCAATCCACCACTGGTCTAAATGCAGAGGTGGGTTGCTCCTGGTTTGGCCCACATTGGGTGAACCGGTAGTAGCAGCGGAGGGAAACTCTGCCCATCCACCCACACGCTTCTGCGCATTTAGCAATAGCAATAGCAATAGCAA